GCCTTCCATGGCTGCTGTTGGAAAGTGTGAGTGACTGCAGCAAATTAAGGCAGTATTTTTAGTACAATTTAAAAAACAAACAAACAAAAAACCCCCAACCAAAACACCAACAACCGCACTTAATAGAAACAATTGGTTTGGAATTCAATCATTTTCAGGGGTTTGACCCCTAGATGGTTTGCTGTTAATAATGACCATTATGCTAAAAAGAAAAGAAAAAAAAAAAAAAAAAGGAAGGGGGGAGGTTGCATTTTCTTCAGATGTTTATACTGAAATTAGGACCTTCAGAGGTGCAAACTGTCCAGGTGTGTTTCCTATTTCATGAGTTTTTAACAATCCTACCAAGTTATCATGGCCACAGAAGCAAGAACCCTGTGCCATTAGAAAAGGCAGGTACTGCTTTTATCTTAAATCAGAGCATCGCTTCGTTTGATTTTCCTCTCTCCATTGAATGGTCTCATTTATTTTAGGTTTCCCTTAAAGCTCTGAAATGCCAAGGCAAGAAAAGGTACTTTTATGCCTAGCAAACCCCAAATCGACAAGAAACAAACTTATTATAACACTGCTGCAGCTCTCTGTGACTTGCCTTGCCAGCTACTGCAGGCAGATCCTATGGCTTCGCTCCAGCCAGCCAGGAGCAAGATGAATCCAGAAGCTTTTACCCCAAAACCATGGATTTTACTTCGCTTTTGGGTTATTTGCTTGGAAATCCCCATTCAAGTGATGTCTCCCATACCGGGATTTTTGTTGAGATGAGGAAAGGAGGTATTTGCGGCCGGACCCTGCTCTCCCCCCCCCGCACCGCTTTTGCACCCTGAGCCTGCCCCTTCGCAGCCCTTTCGGGGAAACCTGGTTACTGTTTTCCATGAATGAGATAACGAAACCGTGTTTATCCTGCGCGGATCAATACGCCTTCGTGTTTGAATGTGTTGAGCCACTTGGACACATTTAATGAAGGCCGTTTTGCACCGGTACCCACCCCCCCCCAGGTGCAACCGCTCCTCGTGAAGAATAACAGCCTTTGAAAACGCTGGATAAGTGTGTTCAGTCTTCACCCTTAATAATCCAAATAGGTAGTTACTGGAGAAACTATTTTCCTTCAGGTTATCAGCTTGCTTTTCAAGGTTTTGGGGTTTATTTCCTCTCTCCAGGCTCCAAGCAATACGTATTCATATATATGTATATATATATATCACAAAGCATTCTTCATATTCTTCCTAAAAACAGACACTTGAAGGTTGACGAGCTGCCACCAGCTCTTTGCTGGGGTGAGGCGCGGTGCAGGACCGAGTCTGATTGAGCAACATGTCCCTTTGCTTTCCGGGGCGTAGGGTAT